GCCCCACAGGTAGGAGGTTCCCCGAAAGCCGGCTTTCCCAGCACGCAAGCGCAGTCAAGACTCGGATGCGCTCCGAGAACGCCATACCCCCCCGCCCCCGATTTGCATACAGGACGTTGATTGGCTCCGACCTTTGTAAATGAACCGCGAAAGCCTCCTAGAAGCTCCGCCTCCTTTTTGTATTCCCACCGAAGGGAGCGGGGAAGAGTTAAGGTTGGGGGTTGCTTTCCGGCCTCACGTCTTTCCGCCCCGCCTTTTTTGTTTTGGTCTTTTGAGCGGGTATATTTTGAATCTTCTAGCCATTCCGGTTGGCAAGTAGATCAATAGGTACCACTTCGGTGGGAAGGCAACAGCGTTCCGTGCGCCTTGGTGTTGAGTCACGTTGGCCACATGACCACGGAAACGTCTTCGGACAGAGCTGGCTCTTCGGCTTTGAAACGGAGATGAGCACCGCAACCCTAGAGTCGGACTCGACTGGCTTTCGAGCAAGGGAGACCTTTACCTAACCATTCCGGACATATGGGGAAAAGCCCGAATGGTTTTTGTTTTGTTTTTTAAATTCATAAACAGTATTTCCAGGATAGATCCCTACACTTGAAGGAAATGCGTGCAGTAGTATCTTTTGTTCGGTTTGTTAAGGACAAACCGAAATCGACGCAAAACATGGTACATTCACCAGGAGCTTTCGTGTGCGCAGGAGCCAGGTATTAATCAATCATTTTGTTACAACAGTCAGCGACCAGCATAGAGTCATAGAATGTTAGAGTTGGAAGGGATCTTGCAGGTCATCTAGTCTAACCCCGTGCACTCAGCAAGTGCCAGCGACCACCAATACAGTTGAATTGGAAAAAATTTAAAAAGGATAAGGAGAGATAAAATTAAGTCTTAAAACATACAAGATCACGCCCCATAACGGGAAAAGGTAAAACTACATGGATCCTCATGAATACAAATGGTTTTTACATTGAAATGAAGTAAAACCACCATCATACTGTAGGCCATGTGTTACTCTATAGGGGGCACCACAAAAATCACGCATCCACAGATGGGTGGCACCACAACAGGCAAAAACATGATTCCAAAGCACGGATCCTCATGAATTCATATGATTTTTGTGCTGAAACAAAATAAAACCACCAGCATTCTGAAGACTATGTCTTAGATTATAGGCAGCATTACAAAAATCATGCCTCCACGAATTCGTGGCACCACAAAAGTGAAAAAACATAGTTCCAAAGGATGGATCCTCAGCATTTTTCAATTGGGTCATTCCAACATCACCATCAAATCACATATCATGTCCATGGCCACAGAATGCACCAAAGAAATCACGTGTCCACAGCTTCATGGAGACACCATGCTGCAAAAACATGCTTCTGTAGCATGGATCCTCATGGATACTTGTGGTTTTTGTTTTGGGACACCCCAAACATATTATTAAATCCCATATCATGTCCATGGCCACTACTTGCACCAAAAAATTCATGGCTTCGTGGCAACACCATGCTGCAAAAACATCGTTTCAAAGCATGGATCCTCAGTGTTTTTGTGTTTGGTCACCATGAACTGACCATCAAATCACATATCACATCCATGGGCACAGCTTGCACTACAAAAGTCATGAATCCACGGCTTCGTGGCAACACCATGAAGCCAAAACATGGTTCTGAAGTACGGATCCTCATGGATCCAGTGTTTTTGCAACGGAACACCCCAAACACACTATCAAATCACGTAACATGTCCATGTCAATAGCTTGCACCACAAAAATCAAGGATCCACAGCTTCGTGGCAACATCATTATGTGAAAACATGGTTCTAGAGCACGAAGCCTCATAGATGCTTGGTTTTCTTGTGTTGGGACACCCCAAACCTACCATAAAATCTCATATCATGTCCATGGCCACAACTTGCACCAGAGAATTCATAGATCCACAGCTTCATGGAAACACCATACTACAAAAACATGGTTCTGAAGCATGGATCCACATGGATCCTTATGATTTTTGCATTGGGTTACTCCAAACACACCATCTAATCACATAACATGTCCATGGCAGCAGCATGAACCACAAAAAAACATGAATCCACAGCTTTGTGGGGATACCATTCTGCAAAAACATGGTTCTGGAGAACGGATCCTCATGGATCCTGTGGGTTTTTGTGTTGGGTCACCATGAACTCACCATCAAATCACATATCATGTCCACAGGTACAGCTTGAACCACAAAATTCATGGGTCCATGGCTTCGTGGCAACACCATGAAGCCAAAACATGGTTCTGAAGCATGGATCCTCATGGATCCTGTGGGTTTTTGTGTTGGGTCACCATGAACTCACCATCAAATCACAGATCATGTGTATGGGAAGAGTTTGAACTACAAAAGTCATAGATCCACAGTTTCGTGGCAACACCATGAAGCCAAAACATGGTTCTGAAGCATGGATCCTCATGGATCCACAGTGTTCTTGCAATGGAACGCCCCAAACACACCATCAAATCACATAACATGTCCATGTCAACAGCTTGCACCACAAAAGTCATGGATCCACAGCTTTGTGGCAACACCATGATGCCAATGCCAAAACATGGTGCTGAAGCACGGATCCTCATTGATCCAGTGTTTTTGCAATGGGACACCCCAAACACACCATCAGATCACATAACATGTTCACGGCAACAGCATACACAACAAAATCAAGGATCCACAGCATGGATCTGTGCTCCAGAATCTTGTTTTTGCAGAATGGTGTCAGCACGAAGCTGTGGATCTGTGATCTTCATGGTGCAATCTGTTGTCATGGTCATGATATGTGATTAGATGGTGTGTTTGGAGTGACCCAATGCAAAACGCCCAAACATCCATGAGGCTCCGTGCTTCGGAACCATGTTTTTGCCAAGAAGCTGTGGATCCGTGATTTCTTTGATTCAAACTGTGCCCATGGTGGACATGATGTGTGATTTGATGGTGAGTTTATGATGACCCAATGCAAAAACACTGGGGATCCATGAGGATCTGTGCTTCAGAACTGTGTTCTTGCAGCAAGGATGTTGCCACGAAGCCACGGATCCATGAATTCTGTGGTGGAAGCTGTGGCCATCGACATGATATGGAATTTAATGTTAACTTTGGAGTATCTCATCACAAAAACCGCAGGCATCCATAAGGATCCACACTCCAGAACCATGTTTTTGCAGAATGGTGTCAGCATGAAGCTGTGGATCCGTGATTTTTGTGGTGCAAGCTGTTGCCATGGTCATGTTATGTGATTTGATGGTGTGTTTGGGGTGACCCATTACAAACACCCCAAGGATCCATGAGGATCCATGCTTTAGACCATGTTGAGGCTTCCTGGTATTGCCACGAAGCTGTGGATCCATGACTTTTGTGGTGCAAGCTGTGCCCATGGACATGAAATGTGATTTGATGGAGAGTTCATGGTGACCCAACGCAAACGCACTGAGGATCCATGAGGGTCCGTAGTTCAGAACCCTTTTTTTACAGCATGGTGTCGCCATGATGCTGTGGATCCATAATTCTTGTGATGCAAGTTGTTGGATAGTGGATGTCAATCCTAAAAGAAATCAACCCTGACTGTTCCCTGGAAGGCCAGATAATGAAACTGAAGGCTAAGGGAGGCTAAGGCTAAGGGAGCCCTCACTGGAGAAGACCCTGATGCTGGGGAAGATGGAAGGTCAAAGAAGACGGGGACGGCAAAGGATGAGATGGTTAGACAGTGTCATAGATGCAACAAACATGAAATTGAGCAAACTTCAGAGGACGGCGGAAGACAG